CTTAAAAGTCATATGAGGACAAAGCAGAGGAGGAAAAAAGAGAAAGGATAAGCCGGGCATGCATGCCTATCCCAGAAGATAAACCTGCACCGTCAAGGGGGAATTTCCTACACCCTTGTACCCAGTGCTTGAAGTGGGAAAAAATAAGTGCAGGAACTCTAATTTTCCGACATTTGTGCGGTGAAAAAAAAATCAAGTCTTTAGGATGTGTTGGTTCAAAAACTATTTTAATTTAATCATTCTTCCAAGCAATAACCTATAGGCATAGGCTACTTTTTTCTAATTCACAAATGGAATACTGAAAAAACATTAAAACAACATGAACCAGACCAGTGTGATACTTGTAGGCCTAACAATAGACTAGGGCTAAAGCTGATGCGATTGGATGGGACTCAGTGGATGCATATGATAGGGCACTGTCGTGGCTCATGGGTAATGTAGTCTTTTATCGGTCTTGTGATATTGTCTATTCTCGGGCCACTGTCGCTGCGTCGGATCAGTTTCAGTAAGTACCGGAACGCAGAAAAAAGTGGTGGAACCCAAAAGACGAAAAACTGCGTTCCGGCCCCCTTCAAGCACTGAGCACGCAGGGAGCTGTGCTTGGGGGTGGTACCTCGCTCAGAGTACTTCTGTGATACTTTGGTAGTCGGAGATTTGAACCAGCAAACTTTCAATTACAAATGCACATCCCTAACCATTAGGCCACCACTGATGCCACTAAGATGGTCTAGAGACACAAACAAACTTAAAAAATCCGGATATTGACACTACAGTTTTTTTCCAATCATTTGCACACTAGTCTCAATACCATGTCCACTTTTTCAAAACACTTCACACTGTGAACTTTACAAGCATGCACCTGAGCATATCAGTTACCTTTCGGTGCAAAATGCACTAAAACCACCAAAACATTTCACACTTCACCCAAAAATGACCCATGCTGCCAAACCTATAGCACACACACTCTGTCACAAGACTACTTTGTCACACAAAGTACAATGCATGAAAAAATACAAACAACTTGAAGCTCTGCAAAATGCATATATATCATGTGTTGTTGTATCCTATATTTTCACACAATGTTTATTGCGAAGTAAAAGAAAAATGTATGACATTTCTTACAGTAAACATTGTAATACAAACAAATAATACAGTAAATAAATTCAGCTGCACAATACACTGGAAAGGAAAAATACATTACAGCCACCTACTGAAAGTACATTACATTCAATACAAAAAAAAAAAAGAAAAAATTGCCAAATAGCAAAGTTTCACTGTATACAGTTAGCTACACTGTTGACCTGGCCTGATCCATTCGGTCTTTTGCATTTGGCCATAAATTTTCATCGACATCACACCGAATATTTTCTCTTGCAATACTCAGAGGAAAAAATCTCTTTGAGTGCCTTATCCAGCTCTGGATGTCCTCCACATGGATGTCCATAAATCCAGCAGCCATTGCATCTAAAAGACATCTGATCATGTGGCCGGTGGTCATATACCTTCAATCTCCATGCAGAAAAAAATTCTTCAATGGGGTTGAGGAATGGAGAGTATGGTGGCA